CATTTTGTGCGCTATTACGCCATAGTCACACTTGTCGAAGGCTTTTGCAAAGTCTGTATATGTTACATCTGCATTCTTTATGTCTTCTAGTGCATTTAGGACCTTGTCGTAGTGATCCAATAGTTGAGACAAACAGGAGCGACCTGTTCTAAACCCATGTTGCCCTGGGTTGTGTAACTGATGGGTTTCTAGATGCGTGGTGATCTTGCTTCTTAGGACCCTTTCAAAGATTTTTATGATATGGGATGTTAGTGCTATTGGTCTGTAGTTCTTTGCTGTTGCTTTACTGCCCCCTTTGTGGAGTGGGGCTATGTCTGCTGTTTTTAGTAACTGTGGGACGACCCCCATGTCCATGCTCCCTCTCCATAGGATGGAAAAGCTCGTGATAGGGGCTTCTTGCAGTTCTTGATGAACACAGAGTTCCATGAGTCTGGCCCTGGGGCAGAGTGCATTGGCATGTCATTTATCGCCTGTTCGAAGTCATTTGGCGTCAGGATAACATCAGATAGGCTTGTGTTAATCAAATTTTGTGGCTCTCTCATAAAAAATTCATTTTGATCTTCGACTCTGGCTTGCTAAAAACTGAGTCATATTGGGACTTGAGTAGCTCACTCATTTCCTTGCTGTCATCTGTGTAGGACCCATCTTGTTTAAGTAGGGGCCCAATACTGGACGTTGTTCTCGATTTTGATTTGGCATAGGAGAAGAAATACTTTGGGTTTCTTTCGATTTCATTTATGACTTTTAGTTCTTCCCGCGATTCCTGACTCCTAAAGGATTCTTTTAGCTTAAGTTCGATGCTTGCTATTTCTCTGACCAGTGTCTCCCTATGCATTTCAGATATATTGACCTCTTTTAGCCGCTCTGTTATTCTTTTCCGTCGCCTGTAAAGGGAGCGCCTGTCTCTTTCTATTTTACATTCTACTCCTCCTTTTTCTTAGAGGAATAAGCCTTGTGCATACATCGAGTGCCACCGAGTTAATCTGTTCTAGGCATAAGTTGGGGTCTGTGTTGCTTAGTATATCTTCCCAGCTTATATCGGTTAGGGACTTGGTTACTTGGTCCCACTTTATGTTTTTGTTATTGAAGTTGAATTTTGGTGAATGCTCCCTCGTGACTATCTCATTTTGTCGGTCGGGGGCTCCGCGCATACATGTCTAAAACCTCAATTATGTTGTGATCTGAGTATATTGTTTTTGATATGGTGACATTTCTTATCAGATCATTATTGTTAGTGAAGATGAGGTCTAGTGTATTCTCCAGTCTAGTAGGCTCTATTATTTGCTGGTTTAAATTGAATTTTGTGCAGAGATTTAAAAGCTCGTGTGAGTGTGAGTTTTCATCAGAGCTGCCTCCTGGTGTTATTGCTGCAACAATATTGTTTGCTATATTCCTCCATTTTAGGTGCCTTAAGTTGAAATCCCACAGGAGCAAGATGTTGGGTGCAGGAGCTGGAAGATTTTCCAGACAGTGGTCAATTTTTAACAGCTGTTCCTGGAATTGCTGGGATGTTGCATCAGGAGGCTTGTAGACTACCACAATGACTAGGTTTTGGTTCTCGACCTTTACTGCTAAAACTTCCGCTACATCATTTGAGGCATTAAGCAGTTCTGTGCAAACAAGTGACTCTGCAATGTACAGGCCAACCCCCTTCCCCTTTTGCCTGTTCACTCTGTCACATCTGTATAGGTTGTAACCTGGGATCCATATTTCGTTGTCCAAGTGATCCTTTATGTGGGTCTCAGTGAAAGCCGCGAACATTGCCTTTGCCTCTGCAAGCAGTCCACGGATGAAAGGTATTTTTGTTGTTTGTTGCTGGCTTTAGACCCTGTATATTTGCAAAGAAGAATGTTATCGGACTGGTGGTATTGTTGGTACTGAGGGGGGATTTTTTTTTCCGGCATTAGTATCTGTATCTGTTGGTTTGGAGTGGAGGCCATCGACTGTGGTTCCACTCCAGGAATGACTGGATTTGGTGTACGATTTCTGCCATTTCCTGCCAGTTTTTTTTCCTTCCTGGCACTAAAAAACCTCTCCCTCTTGATTGGCTGTGGCTACCCAGGTTTTCCCATGGCCTGGATGTTTTGTATCTTTTTGTCCCCTTTAGATGGTATGCCTGGCAATTTAAGTTATAGCACAGTCTTTCCTGTACTGAAGACGTACACAGTTCAGGGTGAAAAAGCTTAAGGAAGGGAGTTTGCATTTTTCCTGTTGTCATATGGGCATGGCATTTTCTTGGGTGGTCATAGTTGCACGTCCCATCTGTTTTTCCAGATTTCCCATGCCAGCAGATACCGAGTGCATAGTATGTGCACAGGCTTGGTTTCCGTTTGCCTTGGGTTTCTGTGACTGTATTCCCTGTTGGTGCATGTTTCCCTGTCTTACTTCTATCCTCCCTAGCACCAACAATGGAGCTCCCACCAGTTGTTTTTGGTAGTATATCCTCACTATTGTTAGTGGAGTCCTCTTGTTTGCTATTTCCTGTGGTATTTCTAGTTTGCAATATTGGTTTTATCTTATCTTTGACTACACTTGTTTCCCTACTATGGCTCCTGTCCCCTATGAGGTCATTTATATGTATTCCTTCCTGCTTATAATTCCCGACTACCTGGACAAAATCTCCAGCTTCACCATTACTGTCTCCCAGGACAGCATCTCCAGCTTCACCATTACTGTCTCCCAGGACAGCACCTCCAGCTTCATCATTACTGTCTCCCAGGACAGCACCTCCAGCTTCACCATTACTGTCCCCCCAGGACAGCACCTCCAGCTTCACCATTACTGTCTCCCAGGACAGCACTATCAACCCCACATTTACTGACTACCAGAACTTCATCTCCAGCCTTACAGTTTCTGCCTACATGGCCAGTATCAAGGGCAGTACCATTCAGCCCAGACTTTTTATGTTCCCATCTGTTGTAGAAAGCTTCCAGGTTTTCTATGAAAGCAGCTTTGATGTTGACCTCTTTTAATACCCTTGTGATTTTAGTCCACAGATTTATCTCATTTGGGCATACCCAAAAACACTTCCCTGTTTTAATACTGCTTGTAGCTAGTTCTTGGATATCTGCACAAGGGGCGTGACACCAATTTCCACAAAAATGACAATTTATGCATGTGGAAGCCCGTTTGTTTGACTGACCACAGACTACACACAGCTTCATAATGATTTGAATGGTTGATTTACTGCAATTCTACTAGCAACCTCTTGAATATTCTATTAATAACCTCCTTAAATGAAGCTCTAGCTATTTGTATTTCTGTTTCTAACTGTTTTTGTATATGACAGCTTACCGTGCACGTTCCTGATATATATTTAATGTTTGTGTTTATTAGGGCGCCTACAACCCCATCCGTTTACAGTCTGCTTTATTGTCCAACGAAACCGTTTGAAACCAGTCCAGGGTTTGGACCAGTCAAGGGTTCGGACCAGTCAAGGGTTCGGACCAGTCGATCTGATCTGATCAGTGGGTCGCTTATTTAAAACATACTGGTCGGTGATTTGGGCTAACACATGAAGGATCTACTGGAAATTATCTACCCGTGTAATATGTGATTTGATTGATACAAAAGTATAACTTGCGTGTTGAAGAGCCGGTGACTGCTCGCAGCTCCTACAATGACGAACGGTCGACCTCAACCCTTGTTTATCAATCGCTGTATCTAGCTTTTCTATTTTTTTTTTTTTTCGTCTCCACCGCAATAAATGCTATATTATCACTATAGTTGACTGGTGCAAATTTTGGATGAAGGACACTTTTTCTGTAGTAATAATTGCTTCTCGTTGTGTATATTGCGACCGCTGGTAACTACAGGTTATATGAAATTCACCGTATATGTCTGGTATTTCAAGAAAAAGAAACTAATGAAAGTCACTCCACTCCACTAAGTACCATTATAATACTGGTTAGTTGCTACTACAACACTGTATTCTGCTATTCACTGGTATCACTAGTAGTTGAAATAGGTAAATAGGCAGTTTCTTGTACTCAATCGATAGAATGAAGGGAGTTCTAATATCATAACTATGAGTTTGGTTGACTGGAACACTGGAATTGGCCCAAATTATGGCCGAAAAGAGGCAAAATCACTGATAAGTAAATATAGCATGACTACTAAATTTGTGAGAGCGTAATTCCAAAAGTTTTCCATCAAATTTTTTTACTTTTGGGTCACAACCTTTCCTAACCCTACCTTTTGCACACTCCTACAACACATTAGTCTCTGACCTTTGTATATTCCTTCTTTAGCACAATTCACCCTGCAGTGGTCTATGACCTTTTCAGGTTTAGCACCTTGATTATATTACTGCTTCTCCTCACTCAACAACAGAGTTCCATTCCTAAGACCATGTCAGTATACAAATTTATCGCTAAGTGAGGAGCATAATATGATAGTGGGTTTGTGTCAACCATGTTTGACATTGTTTAAATGTCATCTTTGCTCCATTTATTACATTTCTGGTATATTTTTAAATGTTTATATAGTAGTGTACTGTATATTGTAATAAGCAGAATACAGGAAATCAGCCTCTAATATACATTATATTAGTATACATACTGGTCAAGAGCCCATCGTAATCTAGGTGTCGGTAAACGATACGTCGCTAAGTGAGGAATAGGCTGATTAATATTATTAACTCCAAGAATATAATAAAATTTAAAGATGTTTGTGTATAAAATGTCATATTGTTTACTCAGTATATTAGTTAACATAATTATTAATATACAACTTGTGATTTATCTTGAAGATCTTTACTAGATAAACATTTAAGTGAGAATTTTATTAGTGAACGTGTACAATAGAAAATAAAAATCTTTTTTAGTTGAGTATGTTTGTTGGTTAATTGTGGAATATTGTGCTATACTGACTCATGTTTTATTGCAGACGTATATTTGTGAGAACTACCAGTGTGTGCTTGCCAAGACACTAATCTTCAGTACTTAGAAGCACCATGTGATGTGTCTAACAACAACATGTATTGCAGAAGTTATTTTGTGGAAGACTACCAGGTTGTGTCTTGCCAGACACTATATCTTCAGTACTTCAAGAAGCACCAGTGTAAGTGTCTTGAACAACAACTGATATTGCAGAAGTATTTTGTGGAAGACTACCAGGTTGTGTCTTGCCAGACACTATATCTTCAGTACTTCAAGAAGCACCAGTGTAAGTGTCTTGAACAACAACTGATATTGCAGAAGTATTTTGTGGAAGACTACCAGGTTGTGTCTTGCCAGACACTATATCTTCAGTTCTTCAAGAAGCACCAGTGTAAGTGTCTTGAACAACAACTGATATTGCAGAAGTATTTTGTGGAAGACTACCAGGTTGTGTCTTGCAGACACTATATCTTCAGTACTTCAAGAAGCACCAGTGTAAGTGTCTTGAACAACAACTGATATTGCAGAAGTATTTTGTGGAAGACTACCAGGTTGTGTCTTGCCAGACACTATATCTTCAGTACTTCAAGAAGCACCAGTGTAAGTGTCTTGAACAACAACTGATATTGCAGAAGTATTTTGTGGAAGACTACCAGGTTGTGTCTTGCCAGACACTATATCTTCAGTTCTTCAAGAAGCACCAGTTGTAAGTGTCTTGAACAACAACTGATATTGCAGAAGTATTTTGTGGAAGACTACCAGGTTGTGTCTTGCCAGACACTATATCTTCAGTACTTCAAGAAGCACCAGTGTAAGTGTCTTGAACAACAACTGATATTGCAGAAGTATTTTGTGGAAGACTACCAGGTTGTGTCTTGCCAGACACTATATCTTCAGTTCTTCAAGAAGCACCAGTGTAAGTGTCTTGAACAACAACTGATATTGCAGAAGTATTTTGTGGAAGACTACCAGGTTGTGTCTTGCCAGACACTATATCTTCAGTACTTCAAGAAGCACCAGTGTAAGTGTCTTGAACAACAACTGATATTGCAGAAGTATTTTGTGGAAGACTACCAGGTTGTGTCTTGCCAGACACTATATCTTCAGTACTTCAAGAAAGGCAACAGATGTTCTTCTTGTGAATTTTTAACTAGCTATTACTAATTAAACAATTTTGCTTTTGATATTGGGCCTAAATATGAGAGAATGCATCTATGTGATAAGTGTGCACTATATAAAACAAATCCTGCAGCAGGCAATGCATGAGAAAAAAACAAAGTGCAACTGTGTTTTTGGATTAAAACAGCAAATTTTTGGTGTATTTTCATGTTTTTTTATAGTAGCATTCACCGTTTCTTAGTCTCATTTGATAAAATAGAGGATGTATTACAGAAATGACTTTGATGGATTTTAGTACAGAAAATAACTTGAAATTGAGTTCAGAGTAGTGGAAATGTTCTGTTTTTGCTGATATTAGAGGGTAAACAATCGCATCACGTGTCCAATACACGTCAGCTGGCGGGTTTAATGTGTGCTGCTGTATGCACTGATATTATTTATACAGTTATTACAATATTGCATAACAGTAACTTTTCTATTTTTTGTGTGCATAAAAATAATTTGTGAATAAGAAATCAAAATGAAATTCATCTGTAAAGCCTACAAATGTAACTAATAAGTAGTAAAAATGTTAGTTTAGTGCCAGGTTGCCTGAATTGATTATTCTGGACCCTACTTTGAAATTGGAATATTTTGAATTTTGTGTGAAACTGGCCATATTACCAATACCAGGTTGCCTGCTTTGATTATTCTGGACCCTATTTTGAAATTGGAATATTTTGAATTTTTTGTGAAATTGGCCATATTTCCAATTTCCAATCACTTTATTGGGAAGTTGAAATAGTTGAATTGGGCAGTTTTATGTGCTTAATTGATAATATAGAACACATACTAGTGAAATAGCTAAGAATTTGGTCTAACGGAACTATATAATTGGCCAAAAACAGGACTCAAAGTGGGCAAAATTGCCAATGCTTAAATATTTCTGACACGGCAAAATTTACAGGAGTATAACCTCATCAATTCTTTATAAAATTATTTCATTTTATTACATTAAGAAAAAGATTCTCTATGATTTCCTAAGAGAAAATAATATTTTTTAGACCCCATGTGGAATTTTCAGATTGGGTGTCTGAACCCTCAAAGGGTCAATAAAAGAATCAAGAGAAATTTGTTTAAACACAAGAACAAATAATAATAATAATAATAATATTTTTTAATGTATCTGTAGGGTTCTAGTACATATATTAATCTTTTAACACAAAACAAAAATTATGAATGTGTTTTAACAATATGAACTTTATTAGTGCTCATAAGTAGAAAAAGTTTTACCTAAATAAATCTTAACATGGGAATATGTTCATAAGGAAAACCATGTGTTCAGTGTTCAAAATAGTTAAAAAAAATCATAAAGTAGACTTGTGAGAACATAAGGAAGATTAACTATAAAACTGTTGTATGACTAAAATATTTTAAATGAAATTCCTTCATTTAAAAAATATGGGAAAACATAAAGAACACAAACCATATGAATGTTCTGAGTGTCTGAAATGTTTTAGTAAAAAAAGTAATCTTGTGTCACATGCGAGAGTACATACAGGATATAAACCATATCATTGCGCTGAGTGTCTGAAATGTTTTAGTGTAAAAGGCAGTCTTGTAACACACATGAGAGTACATACAGGAGATAAACCATATCAATGTTCTGAGTGTCTGAAATGTTTTAATCAAAAATACAATCTTGTGACACACATGAGAGTACATACAGGAGATAAACCATATCAATGTTCTGAGTGTCTGAAATGTTTTAATCGAAAAAGCAGTCTTGTGACACACATGAGAGTACATACAGGAGATAAACCATATGAATGTTCTGAGTGTCTGAAATGTTTTAATCAAAAATGCAATCTTGTGACACACATGAGAGTACATACAGGAGATAAACCATATCACTGTTTTGAGTGTCTGAAATATTTTAGTGAAAAAAGCACTCTTGTGACACACATGAGAGTACATACAGGAGATAAACCATATCAATGTTCTGAGTGTCTGAAATGTTTTAATCATTCAAGCAGTCTTGTGACACACATGAGACTGCATACAGGAAATAAACCATATCAATGTTCTGAGTGTCTGAAATGTTTTAATCAAAAAAACAGTCTTGTGACACACATGAGAGTACATACAGGAGATAAACCATATCAATGTTCTGAGTGTCTGAAATGTTTTAATCATACAAGCAATCTTGTGACACACATGAGACTACATACAGGAAATAAACCATATCAGTGTTCTGAATGTCTGAAATGTTTTAATCAAAAAAACAGTCTTGTGACACACATGAGAGTACATACAGGAGATAAACCATATCAATGTTCTGAGTGTCTGAAATGTTTTAATCGAAAAAGCAACCTTATGACACACATGAGACTACATACAGGAGATAAACCATATCAATGTTCAGAGTGTCTGAAATGTTTTAATCGAAAAAGCAGTCTTGTGACACACGTGAGAGTACATACAGGAGATAAACCATATCAATGTTCTGAGTGTCTGAAATGTTTTAATCAAAAAAACAATCTTGTGAGACATACTCAAGTTCATTCAAGAGATAAAACATGTTAGTGTTTAATATTTCAGAAATATTTTAGTTATAAACTCATCAGAATATATAAAAGGGATATACCATAACAGTGTTGAGAGTGAAATATGTTAATGAAATGTCAGTCATATAAATCATATAAGCTCATAGAGGAGATCCTCTTCAATGGGGGCTCCTTGGCATGGTGAAGAGGCTCTTGGCCTGAGGAGTTAGACCTGTCGGTCTCCTTCCTGAGACTGAACCTAATTACCCTTCAATCCCCCATTCCCTATCCCATCCTCCCCATCCTCCCCTTTTTCCTTTCCTCCTCCTCCTCTCCACCCCTCCCTTTTGCCCTTCCTTTTTGTGCCTTTGGGATTTTTTTTTTTTTCCCTGCAGGCACGCTAGTTCCTAGGTAGGGGAAAGGGTACTGGGGTCCATCCCATTCCGTTGAGGTTCTTGGCGGTGGCGTAGTTTGCCATGGAATCTGGATCACCTGGGGATGTCCCGATCCCTCTCCGGTATCCCGGAGGGTGGCTTTGGGTGTCTCTCGGGTGACGGGTGTATCTCTGGAAGCCACCTTTCGGATTCCGGGGGTGGTGGCCGATGGAGGTATGCTTTGTGGTGGATTTCCGACCGCCCTCTCTTTTGTCCACTGAGGTAGCTCGGCAGATGTGAGGTTGCTATCCCGGATTGCCGGTTTACTGACATGATGGGTAGAGTATGGCACGGGTTCCATGCTGCATCTGCGCTACTTGCGGTGCTGAGGTCCTCTTGGGCACGGAGGGAGATTTCTGGCTCTTTCATTCCTCCTAAGAACTATCCCTCCCCGGTCCCCCCTTTTTTTATTCATTTTTTTATTTTTATTTTCTTTTCTTCTTTCTTTTTTTTTCTTAAAAATAAAAAGAAAGAAGTAACCTAATCATGGCAGCCCTAGGCCATGAACCTGCTTCCCCCAGGCCCCTTCTTGATACCGCACCCCATTCTGACCCCGCTTCGTCTTTGGACCACTCTTCGGACACTCCTCATGCCTCTGTACCTCTTGCCGGTGCTGTTTCCTCACCCGCTTCAGGTACTGAGGCCTCGACTGACTCCTTTGATTTATCTGACCTTCGCTCTCCTCTGACTATGCTTCCGGCCTCTCCCTCTGCGGTGTGGCAATTTTCGAATCGCCGGCCCGTTCCACGTCGGACCAACTCTGGTCACACACCTAAACGCCAACGACAATTACCTGCTGATGATACTTCTCCACCTTCTCGTTCTTCTCAGAAAAGATCGACACGTCCTTCACTACCTTTCCACGCTCAGTTTCAGACTGCACAATGGACTAAATTCTTCACTTACGACTTCCTCTACTGCCTATCTTTCTGACCACAGTATTGGCAAGGCACTCCTACGCCATGTTGGTAAAGATATTTCTTTTCATGCTCTTAAGAGCGGTACGCGCATCATCACCGTACAGAATGCTACCCAGGCTCATGAGCTTTCTCGTCTTTCCCATATCGATACTGTTCCTGTCACTATTGAAAACCATCATTCCCTCAATTCTTGTAGTGGTACTGTCATTCTGCCCCATACCATAGTTCAACAAAATTTCCAGACATGTGGCACTGACATTCTTGAACAGCTGGAACTCCAAGATCTCCCAATCCTCAAGGTAGACACTTATGTTCTTCCTGCCCGCGGGCGGAGACAATACCCTAGCAATGTGGCTCGTTTAACTTTTGACAGCCGTGAACTCCCATCCTCAGTTTATGTAGCAGGACATCGGTTACAAGTTCGAAAGGTGATCCCTACACCGCAACAGTGTAGAAATTGCTGGTGATTTGGCCATCCAGCGAAATACAGTGGACCCTCAACCAGCGATTGCATCGATTAATGATAAATCTGACTAGCGATACATTTTAACGCAAAAGTTTTGCCTCAACTAGCGCTTAAAAACCCGACCAGCGCTATTCGTTCCGTACCATACGCGTCCACTTTGGCCTGAGTGCGCCTCACTTGTCCCTTGGCGCCAGTGTTTACAAGCCAGCCAGCCACCGCGGTCGCTTCCAAACATTCAACAACTGGAACATTTCATATTATCACAGCCTTTGTAGTGATTGCACCTGCAGAATAAGTCACCATGGGCCCCAAGAAAGCTTCTAGTGCCAACCCTACAGCAAAAAGGATGAGAATTACTATGGAGATGAAGAAAGAGATCATTGCTAAGTATGAAAGTGGAGTGAGTGTCTCTGAGCTGGTCAGGTTGTATAATAAACCCCAATCAACCATCGCTATTATTGTGGGTAAGAAAACGGCAATCAAAGAAGCTGTTCTTGCCAAAGGTGCAGCTGCTGCTGCACCACAGTCAGCTGTTGTTGTTGCTGCACCACCATCAGCTGTATTACTCGAAGATGTGGAGAGAGTGTTGTTGGTGTGGCTTAACGTGAAACAATTACCGAGAAACGATTAACCCCAGAGGGTCAGGTTGTATAATAAACCCCAATCAACCATCACTACTATTGTGGGTAAGAAAACGGCAATCAAGGAAGCTGTTCTTGCCAAAGGTGCAGCTGCTGCTGCACCACAGTCAGCTGTTGTTGTTGCTGCACCACCATCAGCTGTATTACTCGAAGATGTGGAGAGAGTGTTGTTGGTGTGGCTTAACGTGAAACAATTACCGAGAAACGATTAACCCCGGAGGGTTAGCCACCCAGGATAACCCAAGAAAGTCAGTGCATCATCGAGGACTGTCTAACTTATTTCCATTGGGAGTTCTTAATCTTGTCCCCCAGGATGCGACCCACAACAGTTGACTAACACCCAGGTGAACAGGAAAAAATGCCTGGAACTAGTGCTCATATTGGTGAGGTTAGTGGGGAGGATGTGGAAGAGTTGGTGGAGGAGGACAATGACGAACTAACCACTGATGAGCTGCTAAAGCATCTTCAACAGTAAGAGGCCACACCTGAGGAAACTACTTCAGAGGAGGGGAGAGAGAAATTGAAGAAGTTGCCTACTTCAAAGATTAAGGAAATGTGTGCAATGTGGCTTAAAGTGCAAACCTTTTTTGATGAAAATCACCCTCACACAGCTATTGCAAGCCATGCTGGTGACTATTACACTGACAATGTTGTGAAACACTTTAGGATAAAGGAACGAGAGGTACAGGCCTCTATGGACAGATATGTTGTGCGACAGAAGTCCAGTGACTCTCAAGCTGGTCCTAGTGGCATTAAAAGAACAAGGGAAGTAACCCCAGAAAAAGACTTGCTACCTCAAGTGCTGATGGAAGGGGATTCCCCTTCTAAACACTAACAAGATCAACGGTCTCCCCTCCTCCCATCCCATCAATCATCACCAGATCTTCAATAAAGGTAAGTGTCATGTATCTGTGCATGTCTTCTTCAGTTTGTGTGTATTAAAATTAATATTTCATGTGGTAAAATTTTGTTTTTTTCAATACTTTGGGGTGTCTTGCACGGAATAATTTGATTTCCATTATTTCTTATGGGGAAAATTAACTTGACTAACGATTATTTTGATTAACGATGAGCTCTCAGGAACGGATTAATATCGCTGGTTGAGGGTCCACTATATTGCAAAGCTATCGCCGAATGCCTGGTCTGTGGTGCCGATGACCATTCTAATAAGTCTTGCAATCTACCTCCCTCTTGCCTTAATTTTCATGAGGCTCACCCTTCGTACTCGCGCCGTTGTCAGATCTACTTAAACGAGCGGGAAATCTGTTAGCTCAAAGAGGCAGAAGGTCTCTCTTATGCCATGGCAGTTTCTCATCTCTGCCTCCAAGGGAGACTACCTCGTGTTTCTTATTCCCGTGTTTCAAAACGTCCCCCCACTTCTGGGATCCCATCTTCTGCAACCACCTCTGTGGTTACCTCTCACATAGTCACTCCTGTATCTAATTATTTTGCTGTCCTAGGCTCAGACGTCCCTACTTCAACGCCTCAGTCTGATCTCGCTTCTTTGTGTTCTCCCTCACAAGCCTCAGTAGCGACGAGATCTCGTATGACACCTCCTCCTAATCGTCCCTCTACTTCTCAAAAGTCAAAAAAAGGTCCGTTAACACCTCCTACCCATCTTCCACCTCCTCATTTTACCTTCCCTGTCTCTGTACCTGGTTCTTCCCCTCTCACTGGCTCTGTTACAATTGTAGAGGTTCACCCTCCTCCTCATACTCTACCTTCCTCCTCTGTTCCCTCAAAAGTTTCTTCCTTTTCTGCCACCTCCCAGGTTTCTGCCTCTTCTCCTCTTCAAGGGGGGCTCCTTGGCGTGGTGAAGAGGCTCTTGGTCTGAGGAATTGGACCTCTTGGTCTCCTTCCTCAGACCGAACCTAATTACCCCCCAATCCCCCTTTCCCTATCCCATCCTCCCCATCCTCCCCTTTTTCCTTTCCTCCTCCTCCTCCCCACCCCTCCCTTTTGCCCTTCCTTTTTGGCCTTTGGGATTTCCCCCCCCACAGGCACGCTAGCACCATTGTTCCTCATCATCCTGCCAACAATGGGTTAGCGGAACGAACCAATAAGAAAGTACTTGATTACTTGAGAGCCACTATCAATCCCAACAGTGAAACTTGGGATGAAGTTATACCTGATGTGCAGTGTGCTATAAATTCTGCTTACAATGTTTCTATAGGTGACAATCCACATCATGCATTGTACGGTGTAGATAAACGTTTGCCTTATGAGTTGTTATATTCTAATCCGAAACCAAATTACAACCCTGATGATTTCATAGCAACTCGTACCAGCTTAGCTCAAAGTGTTTTTAGAAGAATCCATGAAACACTTCATAAATCAACAGCAGAATTTACAAGAGTCGCAAACACTCGAGCAAAGCCATCCAAAATCAAAGTAGGTTCGAGAGTTATGTTGACTAACTTTAACAAAACGTCTGCAATGCCAAAGCTTGATCAAAAGTTTGTTGGTCCTTATCGAGTAGTTGAACGTATCACTGGTAATAAGTATAAGGTTAGAGAGATTAGTACTGGTCAGTATAAAGAATCGCATTTAGATCATATGAAGTTAGTATGTGATGATAATGATGTTCCAACCCAGACTAATGTGACAGACTCTGACAATCCTCCTGATCCTGTACTCTCTTCCTCTGATACTCAGTCAGACGATCAACCTGAATGTCGTTATTCCCTACGTACACGACAGGTATTGAGAAATCCTCAAGTATCATTTGTAACATCCAATTCAGATTTGCCTCAAATACAGCATGAGTTAGCCAATGCAACAGAGTTTGATCCTCCCAGAGATGACTCCCATTCTGCATATGTCAATCTTACCCTAGCAGAGTTGGGGTTAAATGTAAATAACCTGTGTAGATGAATAATTACAGTATCAACTTATCAGTATTCAAGAATTTTTTTGTGTGTGTTCATGTTCTCTCCGCATTCTGAGAGTTAACAGTCTAGATTTGAGTGCACCGAATCTGCCTTTCTGTTAAACACTCTTTCTTTGTATATATTCCTTCCTCAGAATCCGTAGATCACATGAATACAGATCGATCGATCGATCAATTTTTTTTTTATCACTTCTATTGTGTAATCCCAACGTTGAGTTTCATTCGATGAGTTGTGCTATATTATACCTTGTATTGCATTACAGTTTCAGTTATGTAAGCTTCCATTCCAATGTTCTACTTATGTATGTTATAATGTTCAATTGTTGTGTACTTTGACATTGTATAGAATCAGCCCAAGCCGTACACCTGCCATCTCTAGTTTGTATTAGTTGTATGTCGGGACGACATACGTTAGCGTCGCCGAGCTCTCAGTAGTAGTAACCAGTTACCAGTAACCAGTGTACCAGTAGATGACTCTACCAACCGTCTCTGCCTGAGTCACTGTCTGTATTCATATTGTGCTGACCACAGCAGTATTCAAAGACCCCCTCACATATGGGTACTGTGGGCGGCCAGTCAGTCTGACGAGAGTGAGCAAGGAGATTGGTATGGCTGTTTGGGCGCTACCCACATTATCCATAATTATACGTACTTCCAGCCTACGTGAGTATTACTTTACCCTATCCACGTGTTCGAACTCCCACATGATAAGGGTACCGGGGTCCATCCCATTCCGTTGAGGTTCTTGGCGGTGGTGTAGTTTGCTGTGGAATCTGGATTGCCTGGGGATGTCCCGATCCCTCTCTGGTATCCCGGAGGGTGACTTTGGGTGTCTCTCGGGCGACGGGTGTATCTCTGGAAGCCACCTTTAGGATTCCGGGGGTGGTGGCCGAAGGAGGTATTCTTTGTGGCGAATTTCCGGCTGCCGTCTTTTGTCCACCGAGGTAGCTCGGCAGATGTGAGGTTGCTATCCCGGATTGCCGGTTTACTGGCATGATGGGTAGGGTATGGCACGGGTTCCATGCTGCATCTGCGCTACTTGCGGTGTTGAGGTCCTCTTGGGCACGGAGGGAGATTTCTGGCCCTTTCATTCCTCCTAGGAACTATCCCTACTCAGTCCCCCCTTTTTTTATTTTTATTTTCTTTTTCTTTTTTTTCTTAAAAATAAAAAGAAAGAAGTAACCTAACCATGGCAGCCCTAGTCCATGAACCTGCTACCCTCGGGCCACTTCTTGATACCGTGCCCCGTTCTGACCCCGCTTCGTCTTTTGACCACTCTTTGGACACTCCTCATACCTCTGTACCTCTTGCCGGTGCTGTTTCCTCACCCGTTTCAGGTACTGAGGCCTCAACTGCCTCCTTCGATTTATCTGACCTTCGCTCTCCTCTGACTATGCTTCCGGCCTCTCCCTCTACGGTGCGGCAGTTTTCGAATCACCGGCCCGTTCCACGTCGGACCAACTCTGGTCCCACGACTAAACACCAACGACAATTATCTGCTGATGATACTTCTCCACCATCTCGTTCTTCTCAGAAAAGATCGACACGTCCTTCACTACCTTTCCACGCTCAGTTTCAGAATGCACAATGGACTAAATTCTTCACTACGACTTCCTCTACTGCCTATCTTTCTGACCACAGTATTGGCAAGGCACTCCTACGCCATGTTGGTAAAGATATTTCTTTTCATGCTCTTAAGAGTGGTACATGCATCATCACCGTACAGAATGCTACCCAGGCTCATGAGCTTTCTCGTCTTTCCAATATAGATACTGTTCCTGTTACTATTGAAAAACATCATTCCCTCAGTTCTTGTAGTGGTACCGTCATTCTGCCCCATACCATAGTTCAACAAAATTTCCAGACATGTGGCAATGACATTCTTGAACAGCTGGAACTCCAAGATCTCTCAATCCTCAAGGTAGACACTTATGTTCTTCCTGCCCGCGGGCAGAGATGATACCCTAGCAATGTGGCTCGTTTAACTTTTTACAGCCGTGAACTCCCATCCTTAGTTTATGTAGCAGGACATCGGTTACAAGTTCGAAAGGTAATCCCTACACCGCAACAGTGTAGAAATTGCTGGCGATTTGGCCATCCAGCGAAATATTGCAAATCTGTCGCCGAATGCCCGGTCTTTGGTGCCAATGACTATTCTAATACATCTTGCAATCGACCTCCCTCTTGCCTTAATTGTCATGATGCTCACCCTTCGTACTCTCGCCGTTGTCAAGTCTACTTAAATGAGCGGGAAATCCGTTACCTCAAAGAGGCAGAATGTCTCCCTTATGCCATGGCAGTTTCTCATCTCCGCCTCCAAGGGAGACTACCTCGTGTCTCTTATTCCCGTGTTTCAAAACGTCCCACCACTTCTGGGATCCCATCTTCTTCAACCACCTCTGTGGTTATCTCTCACATAGTCACTCCTGTATCTAATTCTTTTGCTGTCCTACTAGGCTAAGACGTCTTTACTTCAACACCTCAGTCTGATCTCGCTTCTTGGTGTTCTCCCTCACAAGCTTCAGTAGCGATGAGATCTCTTATGACACCTCCTTCTAATCAGCCCTCTACTTTCCTTCAAAAGTCAAAGAAAAGGTCTGGTAAACTTGTCACACTCATCTCCTCACAAGTGTGTACTGTGGGGAGACAAGCTAAGTCAGACACAAAGTATTAAAATTATGGTTTGTGTGGTCTCACGCAAAAAAGCAATGGGGGAGTGTTTTAATGCATATAGAGCTATTTCACTAATGTGTTCTGACTACAACATTTTTGCAAATACATCTTAGGTCTACAAAGGAAGTGAAGAAGGTAATTGGTGGGGTTGTACAGTAGGGGCAGATGGGTATAATCATACACACTCATACTCACATAGACAATTTGGGCAATGAGTGCTAAGGGAGTTTTTTGAGGGCTGCAAGGGGGGGAGGACTTTTGGGTATTACACATTGGGAGAATGCATATGACTGTGCGAATCACTCAAATTTTGGTGGCTTGTTTGATGTGTCAAGTCTGATTTGACTGGGAGTATGCGGTGGGTCGATTGCATACTCATCGCTATGGTAAGGGTCCAAGTTAATGACGAGGGAAGGCAGGTTAAAATGGAGAGGGTATTAGCAGGGGTGCCCTCTTTCCAAATTCTGCTTTGAGTGTGCATGCAACATCCGTTCTATGGGCACGTTGAGGGGATGGGCCTGTTAAATGGATAGAGCAGGGCAGCTTAGGCTTTGGGGGTATGTGATGATACCACTATTCCCTGAATAGAAGGGGTGGAGGGAGTGCGTAGGGTGGGGAGGGTGTTGGGATTTTTTGGGGAGGGCGTCTGGCATAGAGTAAATAGGGCGAATAGTGTTTACTGGAGGGTGGTGCTTGGGTGGGGGGCTTTTGGGTTTGAATTGGGTGGGACTCACTGGTGGATGAAATTTGTAGATTCACACACACCATTTATACATGGCGAATGCATAAGAGCTATGCAGGTAAATTTAGAGAGAACGGTGGAGAAAGCAGTAAGTAAATAAAGGGGTTTACACTGGGAGTGTCACATACAGCAGAGGCGGTAATAGTTATTCGCTTGTTTCTAGTAAGGTTTGGGAATAGCGGAAGTGTATCCTTTAGGGACACAGGACTTACAAGAAATACAGAGACGAGCTTTACGTTATGTATTTGGGCTTGGAGAGCATGGTCTGAGGCAAGGAAGTGGTATGTCGAATGTGCACAGGGAAGTGGTCATTTAGCTTTGGGCCTAGGGTGAAAGCCATATATAAAAACAGAGACTCGTCTGGGCTGGAGGGGAAAGAGGGCTAGAGTGGGGAAGGTTACAGGGGATGTGCAAGATGGTGGGGAGGTAAAGAGTTAACTGACTGTGAGATATGCGAGGGTTTTGGTTATTGGATAAAGATGGTTGAGCGACTAAAGTGGGGGCGGTTAGTATCATTCCAGTGGGAGATGGAAATCCAGTACCGGGCAAATCGGTCCTATCTATTGTATGATTGTGGGTCGATATGGGAAGACTTCCGAAGGCTCATGTAACCTAGGGTACGTGAGCTGGTATACAGATTCATGATGGGAATCCTAGCTTCGGAAAGCAGTTTTGAGTTTAATGGGTTTGGGTGAGGGAACCGTCCTGCCCTTCCAGTGAGGTGAGGTAGAACCGGCATTTCATGCTGTTATTTTTGTGAAGAATTGAGGTGAGGTTACGGATGTGGTTGACGAGGTTTTTTGTCCTGCTGGTGGGAGGGTAATGTACTAGACCCTGCGGCTTTAACATTAGAGTGAACGGGGTGTCAATGGAGATAAAAAGGCGAATAAGTTATGTAGTAGTGTATTGTCTGTATATTTCCTGGGGAATGAGAGATCTGGGGGTAGGATTCCGAATTAAGGCAATTGCAGTGCGTATATCCAGGGACTGCTGGTAACTAAACAACTAATTTAAATGGGAGACAGTGGGGACTTCTTTTTCCAAGAGAACTACAGAGAGCTTACAGTCAGTTGTCTTCTGGCAATTGGTGCAGTGATAAACCATGTAGGGGACCTGGTTTTCTATGAAATTCGGGTTTTCAACGGTTTAAGTGGTTGGTGGTGTGTATGGGAATGGTTTTGAACAAATTGACATGGTGGGGTGGTATGAAGGTGTAATGGATTATGGTTGGTGGAAACATGTTCTGATCCATGTGAGACTTTTTTCTTCGTGGTTTATGAATGTATATGTTCAAAACCTTGGGAAAAACTTAGGAGTTAATAATACTAAGTAACATGCATTAATGCATTTCTAGATTTTGGTTGATTCCAATGTTATAGAGGTATGTTCAACTGCAGAGACCATGTATGTGGTGTTTTTTTTGTTTTTTTGGGGGGGACATTGTTTAGGTCCTACTGTAGATGGAATTGTTAGTATAATAGCGAATAATCTGGTGTTTGTGCTGCATGAGTTTATAGATGATATTCTAATAAGGAGTTACATTGCTTCTTTTCAATTACTTTTTGTAATGTGTAAAGTTTCGTGCAGTTGCAGGATTGAACACTAAAACTGTGTGCAAGTGGTCATTGTTTTGGGGTTGAAGTGCATGTGTGTAAATGTAGTGTGTGTGTGTGAAAGTAATGTTCGTTAAGATAAAAAGCTCCCTATGTGTCTAATTTATCTTCATGGCTTAGTTCATATATAAAAGATGTAAATTTAGCGAGTTTTTAAAAAACTTTCCATGTAATAGTAAATTTCTGATTTTTTAGGGAAAAATATTAATGTTCCTGTTTTATGGAGTGGTGAGAAACTCCTTTGTCAAAATAGTAATGTAACATCTGAAGTAGACGATAGTAAAAGTTTGTATTTATGCCACAAAAAATTAGAATAAAAAGTTGTGTGTTGTTTCTGTGTACAAAGTTTTTTATAGATAATATTTAATTTTGTATTCACATTAGCTTGTTTTTTTTAACTTTTTTGGTGAATGGTGCAACGTTTAGTTTGATGCAGGGATGGTACAAGAACACCTGGGTGTTTCAAGTGTGAAATGTAATGGGTGCATCGTTTATTTTTGCTGCAGGGATGGTACAAGAATCACCTGTGGTGTTCAAGTGTGAATGTAATGGTACAAAACGTTTAGAGCTGCAGGTATGGTACAAGAACACCTGGGTGTTCAAGTGTGAATGGCTCTGGGTTATAGGAGGTGCATATTGTAAAAAGTAAGTGTGTGGTGTGGTGAATGTAATTCTCTCAACGTTAAGAAAGCTCCCTGTGTTTGGAGTTTATTATGAGGACATCATGAACAGATTTAAGTAAAATGTTCTAGGGTTAATTTATCTTTAGGGCTGGAGTTCATAATATATCAAATGAACACAGACCCCAACTAATGAAAAGCCTAGAGAGATTAACTCCGGTGGCACTCGATGTACGCACAAGGCTTATCCTCTAAGGAAAAAGGAGGAGTTAGATGTAAAACAGAAAGAGACAGGCCTCCCTTAACAGGCGACGGATAAGAACAACAGACGGCAAAAAGAGTCAATATAGCTGAAATGCGTAGGGAGACGACTGGTCAGAGAAATAATCAAGCCTCGAACTAAAGCTAAAGAGGATCCTTTAGGAGCAGGAATCGCGGAAGAACTAAAAAGCCATACATGAAATCGAAAGAAACCCAAAGTATTTCTCTCCTATGCCAAATTCAAAATCGAGACAACGTCCAGTAATTGGGCCCGCTACTTAAACAAGATGGGTCCTACACGATGAAGCAAGGAAATGGAGTGAGCTACTCAAGTCCCAATATGACTCAGTTTTTTAGCAACCGCTAACGCAGAACTGAGAAGTTGAAGATCAAAATGAATTTTTTTATGAGAGCCGACAAAATTTTGATACACCAGCCTATCCCGTATGTTATCCTGACAGTCGCCAGATGACTTCGAACAGGCGTTAAAAGACATGCCATGCACTCTGCCACCCAGGCCAACTCATGGAACCTCTGTGTTCATCAAGAAATGCAAGAAGCCACTATCACAAGCCTTTTCCATCCTAGGGAGAGAGAGCATGGACACTGGGGTCGTCCCACATATATACTAAAAACAAAGACATAGCCCCACTCCAGCAAAGGGGCAGTAAAGCAACAGCAAAGAACTACAGCCTCAATAGTCACTAACATCCCATATCATAAAAATCTTTGAAAGGGTCCCTAAGAAGCAAGATTCACCAACCTATCTACAAAACCATCAGTTACACAACCCGGGCAATCAAGGGTTTAGAACGAGTCGCTCCTTGGCTTCTAAACGATTGGGATCACTACGACAAAAGTCCTAAATGCACTAGAAGAACAAAAAGAATGCAGATGTAATATATACAGACTTTGCAAAAGCCTATGACAGTGGTGTGATCAATGGCGTAATAGCGCACAAAATGCGTGCTAAAGGAAAACAGGAAAAGTCGGTCGATGGATCTATAATTTCCTCGACTAACAGAACCACAGAGATAGTCCGCAACAAAGTAAAGTCCGAGGCAGCTACGGTGAAAAGCCCGTTCCACACCACAAGGCACAGTACTCGCTCACCATCTTGTTCCTCAATCCGCATATCCGACTAGACAAGGAGTCAGCCACAGCAACCGTGTCTTCCTTTGCAGAGACACCCGAATCTGCATGACAGTGGTCTTCCATTGCAAGACCTGCACAGCTCCAGGCGGACATCAACCAAAATCTTTCAGTGGGCTGCAGAAACAATATGAAGTTCACACATGAGAAATTTTAAATTAACTCAGATAGGGTAAAACTGAGGAAATTACAGCCTTCATCAGAGTAACAAAACAAATCTTGCCAGCAAAAATAGAGTGAAACACCAACGTCACAGACCTGGGAGTGATCAAGGTCTGAGGAATCTCACCTTCCAAGGACCATAACATTGTATCAAACACATCTGCTAGAAAAATGACAGGATGGATTAATGAGGAACCTTCAAAACAGGAGGCCAAGCCCATGATGACAACACTTCAGGTCACTTGACGTTCTTGAGTCTAGGCTGGAATATTGCTGCACCGACTACCAGCACCTTC